GAATTCTGGGAGCTGAAGTCCACACATCTTCAAGTTGCCAAGGTTGAGAAACACTGCTCTACCCTAATGGACTTGCCCAACCTGTTATTCCTGGGAGAAACATCTGGTGATCCCCCATTTCCACAAATGTAAAAGTTTGCAGGTGCTGCTTTTCTGTGGCACTGGCGATATGTGGAACCATTTCCCCCATGGTTTTAGCCTTCCAAAACACTGACGGATGGAGAGTTACTCCAGAGGCCCTAGAGTTACGAGCAATGTCTAGATTGGTTTATTGTAATTATGGTGTTATTGCTTGTTTTTTAACATTCTATTGTGGAGGTTTTATTTATCTTTATCACTATAAACTGCTGAGAATCTTGTAATTGCAATGAGTAGAAATGCAATGCATAAATAAATTACAAACCCAAACTCAGTGATTAATCAAATTATATAAAAAAACAGTACTAATAAATTGACTAGTAATAAATCTAACAATTAATCAATGGTTAGGATACAGGGCAGCATCCATGCATGGGGGCATGGTGATTTCTCCCCACTGTGTTTGTGGGGATTAGTGGTGGGGAGCTCTAAGACATTTCTTGATTTCTTCTAATTACAGTACCCTTATTTATCTATGGCAAAATTTTGAACCCTCCCAACTCTCTAATATCTGCCTATGAGTAGCTCTGTCCCCTCACCAAATCCAATATTAAATCATATGCCTCAGTCACTGTCAGCAATACTTTTAACCACTGTTCCTTTTTCTAAAACATATATACAAGTAAAGACCCAGCTCCTCTTTAAATGCCAGGGTGTTGGGTTTAGCAAAGGAATGCCACAGATTATGCACAAAGCTTATGTTTAATTCCTGTGTTTTCTACTTCAACTTTTATATATCCCAAGGACAGAATGACATATAAGAATATAAGCTGCGGGGGCTGGGTGGAGGAGGCAATGTATTGCGCACGATCTGCATCTTCCTCAATGGGCCGTTCCAGTAGGGGTTTGTCTAGATATGAGCTTATGGTCTCTAGCATGGACTCAGTTCATTTGAGCAAGTCACTGTATCTCCAATATGGCTCCATCTGTCATCCAATCTCCATCCTACAGACCAGGCCAAATGGCCACTGGACCTCCTGTCCACTCCAGCAAGGTTGACAGTGGGGCTCTCCCTTTCCCAGTCCAGCTGCCCAGCTACTACCTGAGAAGATCAGCTCTCTTCCTGTGGTTGCTTGTGATTGAGAAATAGATAGCCCCCGTCCTGGAGTGACTCATGGGTCTTTCTCACTTCAGGACAGAGGAAGTCTATTTTTCAAGGACACGTATCATCAGTGCCAAGTTATACCAGCAGTGGATTTATTTTCAAGCTCAGAGACTTTTACCTATTTTTTTATCAACAGTTTTGTTTCAGGGCAGAGGAATTAATAACTGGAATCAACTTACATCTCAAGAGACAGTTAGAATGCAACATCCAGTATTTCACTACAATTTCCTGCACATTGTCTCTTGCCAAAATTGCTGCTGGGAGAGGAATCTGGCTTCTTTAAAAGCATCATAGGTCTAGTGATTCACCTTGCTAACCAGGCATCTCTCCTCATCAGCCCTGCTTGCACTCAATACCCTCTCCACATGTCTTCCTGCATCAGCATTCTTGCATGAAATTGTTCTTTTCCTACATGACTCCTTCCTCAATAAATTAACATCCTTCTTGCAAGGACTTTGAAGGCAGAAGCAGTGAAAGAAATCAACATGGATGAAGACAGCTCTTGGGCATTCATCTTGAAGGGCTGGGTTAAATACCACACTAGATGTTGGATCAGAGGGTCACCTTGACTGTATCATTTTAGATTACAAGTTCACCCAGAAGTCCATCTAAAGTCCATCATCAAGAGGGGGAAATTGCTAAATTCCAGAACATATTGCAGGTGGGCCAGTCAAGCATTTCCTGTACAAGCAGTGAATAGCTACCATAGAATTGACATGCTAAGACAGGTAATCACGTCTGTAAACAGTGACTGTAAGAGAGAAGCATAGTGTTGGGTCTTGCAGTCTTACTATGTTTAACCTGTAAAATCCTATCTGAATGTAGGGTTGTTGAGACTTGCTCCTGGGCTCCAGAGTTGAGCATTTAATAATACCCAATGCAGCCCCTTTGGGAGGTAACCAATTCTCCCTGTGCAGATTAGAGGGTAAGCTACATTTTAAATTCAACTTATTTTTTTCTTATTTAAGAGGGACTGAAGTCTGGGAATTATCCAAACTGGGTGGGGATCTTTTTGTGCATCACAACGCATTCTAAACTCACCCTGTTCTTTTTAAGCATGCAGTGAAGGAGCAAGAGAGCCACACTCTATGCAATTAGCAATTTTCTCCCATTGGGTGTTAAGCTGTTTAGAGGGTTTCTTTTCTTTGCCTTGTTACAAGCAGTTAGAAGGCCTTCTTTTTAATTTCCAGTTATGCCCCAGACTTCTTTTTTCTGGCAACTGTCAAGAGATAACCACTAAATCACTCTTGGAAACTTCACGCCAGACACTTACTTGTCATTCCTGGACAACTGCGGCTAGTGAGAGACACAGTGATGCTCTGACTACATTCACAGGACAGATTTTACCCAATTCCTGTAAACTACCCATTTTGGGGATTTGCACAAGACACTAACCTCCAAAGGCCTAACCAAGGCTAATACTAACCAAGCGTAGCATATTCTGTGGGTGTTTAGATCTTTACCTGACCTGGATAAGTCTACCATGTGGACTGCTTAACCAGGTCACTTAAAGATCTAGCACCTGTTCTTATGCAATTTGCTAAGCTTAGTTAAGCCTAAACTTGGCTTTTTTGGGGTGTGTGTGTTTGTGTGTGTGTGTGTGGGGGGGGGCACAGTATGTTATGCAAAGATTAGACATTTGTTTCATTTATCATTCAGCGAAGTGTGCCATCTGAGAAGGGGGTTAATTCAGTAAATGTGCTGCATGAATCTGGCTGGTGTGATTTCTTCCTGTCCTCTGGTAATTCCCCGTGAGACCCCAAACTGCCTCTTGGTAAACATTGGTTCCCATTGTAAAAGGGAAGGGGTTGTTGCAAATATTGTGGAAATCAGGCAGCAGAGGCTAGATAATAAGATTGTTTTATCTCCCCTTTATCTTGCTGGAGAAAACCTAACAGACATGTTTAATTAATGTATCCAAGGCGTTTGAGCAGCATCTGGCAAGCTTTTCAGAGCCGTTTACTGTAACACACACTCAAACGGGAGACGGATAAGCCATCACAGATATCTAAAACCACAAAGCCAATATGAACAAGGTTAAGACGATAGGCTGAATTTCCTTCCAAACCAAACTCTCTGGTCCCCTCTCAGATTTGGCCTCCCTGCATGCAACTGCGTGCCACTTACCTATGTACTGGCCTTTGCCTTCTCGAAACGGAGGACCGAGGGGCCCTTTCACCACCGGCTGCATGTATTTCATCTGTGCATAACCTCCTCCTCCAGCGCCCCCTCCGGCAATTGCAGAGATGCGAATCCCCACCAGCAGCCACAGAGTCACGTCATAGAACATGGTGCCTTGCTGAGAGTCTCCCTGTAGCCAGAAAGAGGGCAAAGTTACTTGGGAGAATCTCCAGGCTATTCTTGAAGACTCACGAGCCAAAATAAAAGTGGGGGGAGGTGTGTGGGGAGAGGGGAGCTGTTCCTAGAGTAAAACATGGCTTCACTGCCCAGTCTTGGTTTCTCCTTGACTGTCTGACAAATCTAAGCATTGTCACCCCAGTTCTTCTCCTGTGCAGTCATCATACCACAACTTCCAAATTGCTCCATGAATTCTGAGTTACCCAGATTAATCCTCTTCATAAAACAGGCAGGTAAACTCTTGGGGTCTAGCAAGAATTTGGGAATTTTGAGAGCATGTCATGGATGCTGTCCCAAAATAACTCCATGAGAAGGCTTGTAGATTCACAAAATGGGTGCTGTAGTGGGAGCCATGAATCCCCATTCTCCAGAAGGTGGATTTTCTCTACTACCTCAACTTTCTCCTTGCTTTCTGGACAGGTGGACACACTTTCAAAGTAAGGGCTGGGCCACAGCAACTTAACCTCTTTATCAATGGGTAGAAGCTTTACAGAAGGAGATCCATACTCAAAATAAGAAGAAATTGTTTGGCTATAAGAGTTATTAGGTAGTGGAATTACCCCGGGCAGGGGATTGGATGAGAAACATCAAATGTCCCTTCTACCCCTATGATTTTATGATTTTCTAAAAAACATTTATGGGATCTGTCTACATCTATCATCCATCCATCCATCCATCCATCCATCCATCCATCCATCCATCCATCCATCCATCCTATATAGACACTCATTTACCAGAAGGAACTCTAGGTGGTGAACAAAATGAAAACATAATACATTAAAAAGACTATTTAAAACAATAAACAACGTTGAGGCCCCAGTAAAAGTTGTGTTCATCCACCAACCACCCCATGCCAGATCCATCAACCTCCTGGCCTCAGTGCCTGGGGGAAAAGCCAGATCTTCATTGGTTTCCTGAAGGCCAACAGGGTTAGGGCCATCCATATATCTGGGGGCAAGCTGTTCCATAAGGCTGCCACCATGGCAGAGAAGGCACACTTCCAAGCATGCCCGCCCCACCAAATCTAGTAGGATAGGCAGACACCATTGGGAATAGGACAAGTAACCCGGTCCCATTCCATGTAGGGCTTTAAAGGTGACAACCAGCATCTTCCATTGCAACCAGAGGCCTACTGGGAACTCTCATACAGTACGAAAGCGCTGCTGTATTCTGGACTAGCCGCAGCTTCCAAATGTTCTTCAAGGGCAGCCCCATGTAAATCGCATTGCAGTAGTCCAAGTGGGAGGTGATTAAGACATGAGTGACCATGAGCCTTTATGGAGCTCATAAGCATTTGTGGAAATCAAGAAGATGCTGGAAGCATATGCAAATGCCCCCCCCCCCTCCTCCTCCTTGAAATTTCAACAAGGCAGAGAGCTTCTGGATCAATGGATCAATAAGGCTTAAAAGAAACCTCTATGAGTTCTGGGAAATCCCATGTTGCTCATTTCATACCAGCAGTCAGATCACTCCCATCAACAGGGCAAACAAGGGAATAGATTCAAAATAGGGACATCCGCTCCTCTCCTGCCCCCCAAGTTCTCTTTTTATATATCTTCCGAAGATTCAAGGATCCACCCATCTCTTGCCGTCCTTTGCAGGAGGCACTCAAAGGATGAATAGAAGCTCATAATTTTAGCACATTTTTCTCCCTCCTTCCCCTCGAGCTGCAATGGACCATAACTCCCATTATACCTCAATCAACACATCCCTGGCACACCCAGTCAGATGATTATGGGAACAGGAGCCAAGAACATCTGGAGAGCACCTGTTTGGGCAAGGCTGCTAGCAGTTGGGATACATCTTGAATGCATAGCTAACCTCTGAAAGATGTGGCAAGAAAGGAAGCCTGTAAATGCAACTTTAAACCAGGCCATGTGCTTTAAATAAGGTTTTAGCATGGACACCTTTAAAACCATGTCTCCAAAACATGTCCCTAATGCATTTGTCCACCTTGAACGGGGAATTAAAGTAGCCAAGGAATGGATAGGTAGGAGATGCTGAACAAAGGATGCGGTCATCTCTCTGTCTCTGTCTTTCTCAGCTTCAGAAGATTTCCTTAGGATCTGGCTCCTGAAAACTTCTCCCCTTCCAAAACCCAGACCTCACTGTGCTGCCTTTGAAAACCTTTGGCTCAAAGGAAGGGTGCGAAGAAAATCCCCCACTGTGTTTGGCGGCTTAAAAAATGAATATGTCAGAGGCACAATTCTCTGGCTTGGAGTCTCGCCAGAGGCAGTAACTCTTCAGTGTGGTGCTTCTTGAAATGTCAATGGAAGTTTGTTTGGTCAAGTGCTTATGAGGAATCTTGATGGTTTATGATGCTTCATAAGACGAGCTAAAGTGCCCACTTGTGTAAAATTAAAAGGCTTTCCATAAACACCGGTTTCCCCTCAAACAACATTTTCCAAACCTGGGCTTCAAACAAGGGTCTGTACGAAGCAAAGGACAGATTATTTTCTGACAGATTTAATGACACAGAACACCAAAAGTGCTGTGGACTAATTGAACCGCAATCACCATTAATAAAAATTAAAGACTGTGGTCTTTTTCTGCTTGGGAAGGAAGGGAGCAACTTCTCCACGAATTTGATTGGAATTTCCTGAGCTGTTTTCAGTGGAATAGCAGTGAGGTGGGGAGAGAAGTTGAGAGAGAGGAAGAGGGCAGGAGAGAAGTTCAAGAGCACAAAAGGGAACACGAGTTTGAGTAAGGGGCTGCAGTGGACCAGTACCCTACAAGAAAGTGATTTGAACATTGTCTGAGCTTGGCAAGTCCTTAGATGGATGCAAGTAATGCTGCCATTTCTCCTCCTACTCAAATAAGATTTCCAATGCATTAGGCTGAATTTGAGAACGAGACTTTTTCCCTTCTCTGGATTATCAGTAGTTTTAGCCCAAATGACCCAAGATAGTATTAGTTAGTGGACCCAATTTTCCAAGTTTCCATAGATGGTATTCTCTTGGTCAACATCAGACAAAGCAAATGCTTGCAGAAGAGAGAAAGTAGAATGAAGGAAGTAGGATGAAGGATGCCAGGAAGAATTCAGTGACCTCTATTTTTTTTAATGAAACATCAAGAGCCATTTTTTTCCGTATTAATTTTTTTCCCCAGTAAACACATATACAGTACAGTCCTGCAATAGTCTTCCTCATCTTATCATTCTTCACAGATTCTGGACTACAGATACAGCTGGGGATCACGGAGATGTGGCTTTACAAATCTGGAAGGCATCTGGAAAGATGCCTCAAACCATTCTGTCTTTGGACAAGTAAAAAATGACCTGCTCAGAGGAGAAGTACATGTCAAGACCATACTGGCTGAGCTCGGAAGAAATGACCAAATAAATGCATAGGACAAGGAGACCAAGCTGAACTTTCTGAGTACCACAAATTCATCCACGCATCTGTGCAAAACTGGCAAGGAAGAGAGAGGTTGTACTTCTCTGTAGTAATTGTTTGGATGGAATCTACTTGGGGAGGTACTTTGTTTGCCCCACATCTACCTACTCCCCATCAGTCTGTTACCACTCACATTATCTCCTTGGCAGGCAAAAGCCTTCAAGTCTGCTAGACAAATGGAGCGTCCCTCGGCTGCAGCATTTTCTTTTGTCCCTTTTTCTTTTTGCCTGCCTGCCTGCCTGCCTTCTAGTCATTTAAAGTGATGGGAAAGAGAACAACCTACCAAGTGAGCTATCAGCCCAGCAAACACCAGTTCTTCAGGTCAGGCCAGGTGAAGGAAATTAAAACTGCTGATTGAAGCTTTTCCCCAAATCTACCTGACCACCCCCTGTACTTTTTCTTATATTTAGCAAAACACCTATTTCTACAGCTGAGACCTCTTCATCTCTGTTCCTTTGCCCCCTTCAAACAACCCCCCCTTAAACCGTTTTCTATAAAAACAAGAATCCCTTCCCCAATGCCAGTATAGATCGAACTCACTAGGGCCTCTCCATGGAGGGAACTGAAACCAATACCGTACTGAAGCCTCTTTGCTGCTCCATGAAATACAGCTTGTGCAAGAACTGGATAGCTTTCCAAATACAGCCCAGCCTGGCTTTTCACCCTGGCCAACTGCAGGAGAGATGGAGTTCCTCTTCCTTCTTGCACAGAAGAGCCTGCAAGAATTTAAAGAGCCACATATTCTTTCGCTCTGCAATACAGTTGCTGGGAAACCCTCCTCACCGTCAGCCACCCTGGAAACAGGATGCTGGATTGGATGAGCTTTTTCTGCTGGATCCAAGAGACGATTTCTTATTTCCTGAATTGATAGGGCAGGATGTCCACTGGGAAGGGTCAGATCTTCGAGGTAGGCCGGATCAGGTAATAGGCCGAGCAAGGATTACAGGCATGCTATTTGACTGTTGTAGGGTATAAAAGAAATGTTATCTGATAGGGTATAATAAGAGAATCTTGCCAGAATGGATCTCTATCCCCTCTTATACCAAACAGACCCAATGCAGGATTATCTTGAATTTCTTTCTCACCCCTTCTTCTTCCCTTGGTCTCTTATCTTGCCTTCATTGGTCCTGCATACCTTCTTAAAAGTTATCTTCTCTACCAAAGAGCTCACTCATCTGCTGGATCACGAAAAGCTTGCCTGAATGGGAATATATCATAAGCAATGGCAGGCTTGTTTCACATCTTAGCTTGTTGTCTTCTGAGATCCCAGTTCAACAGGCTTCTAAAAACCTGGGATCTATTACCTTTGGGGAAATCCCACCTTACGCTGCCCTCTCGGATTGCATTTGCACAACACGCTTCACCTGTTTGCTGAATTAATCCCTTTCTGGGTTTGTACCATCTAACCCTAACCTGAGCAAATGGGTTAGGTTAGCAGAACACACTAAAGCACAGAAAAACTAACTGGGGCGACATTAATCAAGGTTAGGATGTCATGTGAATATAGCTCTCTGAACTTTGATTCTAGCTAACTAAGTGTGTGGTGTGAACTATATGT